CCCGCCACAGGCTGTGGGACCGGGTAGGAGCTTGGGCTGCCCGGGCCAGGCTGAGTGCTCACCCGCTCTCCCTCTCTCCTAGTTGCTGGCTGAGGAGCTGGGTGGCACGTGTTTATTCATGCTTTTATCCCAGGCCTCCAGTTGTGCAGGGCTGTAGTCTTAGGGTTGCAGTTTCTCCCTCCGAGCTGCCCAGGCGGCTGCCCGCCACAGGCTGTGGGACCGGGTAGGAGCTTGGGCTGCCCGGGCCAGGCTGAGTGCTCACCCGCTCTCCCTCTCTCCTAGTTGCTGGCTGAGGAGCTGGGTGGCACGTGTTTATTCATGCTTTTATCCCAGGCCTCCAGTTGTGCAGGGCTGTAGTCTTAGGGTTGCAGTTTCTCCCTGGCCAGTCACCCGACAGTGCGGCAGCACGGCTGTCTCGTCGGCTCTTCTGTGTGGACCAGGACAGCGCTGCTGTCTACTCACCACCTTAAGCAGCATTAAGTCCTTCACACGAAGGGGCCACAGGAAACTCGCCCTTTGTCCTGATTAGATTTTGCATTTTCTACTCTCTGAGTCTCTCATTCCATAACAGCGCAGTGAAAGCCTGTAGTTACCTGTTTTTCAGAAGAGGTGAAGCCTCCCAGTGACACGCCGGTGAAGGCTTTTCTGATTTTTAAATGTGCTGCAGCGAGTTTGGCCATAATCTCCCCACACTTGGCTGGGGGAAAGCAGCCGCTTTCTGCCATCCGGTTTTGCACAGAAGGCGGCCGCTCGCAGAGGCCTGAAGCTCAGTCCCAGCACTGCAGGCGCCGACCCTTCATGTCGCAGAGGTACATGAGGCACCTGTTCTCCTCCTTTTAGAGCTGATGTGCAGGAGCACAGGGATTCTGGAACAGGGCGGCTCCACACTGGGTTTCAGTGCGTGCTCACCGTGTGATGTTTCTCTCTGTCCCCCTGCTCCTGTCTCCTGACGGTGAAACTTTCAAACCCTTTCCTCTGGACTCAGCGCCTTCTCTATGACTGGCCCCGGGACAACACACCGCGACTCCCTGCCCTTCCCTCGGCTTGGCCCATGGCGCCACCTCTCCCTGCCCTCCTCTCTCGGTCCCCTGCTCCCCTGGAAGCCGCCCCCGCACTCAGCCCCCACCCGCTCACCTTGGAAAATCCTGCCAAGAATGAGGTCACTGTTCTCTGTTGGCCTGTTTCACCTGATGCTCTTCAGGTGCCTGCAGCCTGTTCCAGATCACAAGCCTCACTCCTCTTTGTGGCAGAGCAGCACCCCACGGGGTAGGGGTGCCGTTCCCTTCACACTGACGTCGTCTGCATTTCTTAGCTGCGGTGCAGTGCCGTGCTGCGGTGGGGGGTGTGCTTGTCTCTCATTTTTTCATTTCTGTGTTTAACGCTCACAAGGCACTGGTCTCTTCGACAGGCTGACTTCATTTCTGTTAGAAATATTCCCAGCAGTGGGGTTGGCTCTACTTTTCTTTCTTACAGACCCTTCACACGGTTTTCCACACCGCTGTGCTAACGCACGCTCTCACCAGGAGTGCCCGAGGTCCCCTCTTCTCTTCACTCGCCAGCGGCACTCACGCCTTTGACAGCAGCCACCGGCCACACCACTCTCTTGCTGAGCGGCCTTTCCTGGCTAACGCTGGTTTCGACAGTAGTGTCTGGGAACATGCAGGGCACGCGCTTCACAGGCTCATGACTGATCCACACTTTTACGTCAGCAAAGGGACAGGTTTGCGACATCTCCATTATGCCCACCACAGAAATCTTAGTGAACAAAGTCAGCATCCTGAGCTGTGGAGGAAACTTCAGTCACTCCCAAGTTGCCACTTTACGGTCTTTGATCTGGATGGCCAGAAATCCTCGGGTGTGCTGTAATTTTATGCATGTTTTTATGCGTGAATCTTCAAGGGATCTGAAAGCCTGGAGTCAAAGTATTGAACTGTTACCATTATAAACACAGGACCACTACTGCATCCTCTTATGTGCACATCGCATGATTTGTGTCTTTTAGAGCGTGATCTTTCTGGCTGTACAACACCACCCCCAGATATGTGGTTTTATCTCCATCTAAATATCAGGAAGTGAAAGTTCATGGAGTTTTAATTAAGTGCTGAGAAGTGACAGGGAGCAGATTCATAACCAGGACAGCCAGATTCTATTGCCCTGTGTCTTTATACTATTGTATGCAACATTGGAGTCAACTGAGAATTAAAGACTTTTTTAGAATAAAATACAAGAACTGAGTGGTAGAAACGTTTAAGTGGGCTTCCTAGAGTAGTGGAGACAGGGTGCTACACACCTGCGCCTTCCTTGGCGCGATCCTGGAAGCTGGAGTAACTTGTCCGGGACACCTAGGCGTGCCAGCGGCCCAGTGCAGGCGAGGATGAGCAGAGGGTCCCCGAGAAAGGTGAGGTGCAGGACCTGAGCCTCAGTGTACAGGCGCAGCTGTGCGGCTTTGGGAAGAGAACGGTGGTGAGGGCGAGGCTGTACAGAGGCGGGGCTTCTTCCTGAGACTCCCTGCCCCAACAGCTCAGGACCGGAAACCCGAGAGGATTTTCAGCAGCTCTAGGACGAATGGCCTCAGGGTACCGATGTCTGACATTTCCACCACCGCCCCCAACATCTGTGCCTTTGCATACTGAACCCTTCATGACTTCCGGATGCCAGCCTGCTTCGTGTGCCATGTTTGGGTACATATGGTACCTTCTGTCTCCTTTTGCCTACAAAATGAGTTCCCACCCAGCCTCCAGGACCTCTCCAGCACGATCTCCTGGCAACACCACAATAAAGTCTCAGAGTATTGGTGCCTGCATCCCGAGTGCTCCCCACTCGCTCCCAGAGATGCTCACCGGTCCACACAGCACGAGAACGCTGGGAGATACTGGATGCTCTAGTTAGGAGCAAGTCCATGACGACAGCTCCACCAGTCAGACCCCAGCCGGAGTCGGGCGGCAACCAAGACGAGGGAGGATTACCAGAGGAGAACTAATAAAGAAGCCTTGGCAAAGCCCGAGGGGAATGTAAGAAGCCAGAGGAGTAGCAGGCTGACCTCCCTCCGACCAAAGTAACAGGGAAGGAGTCACCAGAGCCAGGGTGGGAAGCGTCCCTGCACAGGGTGCTGGAGGGAGTTCAGGTGTTGAGATTCTCTGGCCAAAGGGCTGGAGCCTGAATCGCAGCAGCAGCCCGACTGCCTCCCTCCCACCCGTCTCTGGCCGGCTGCCCAGCACCAAAGCCCAGTGGCACTGAAGTGTGGCAGGCGCTGAGGGTTCACACTGATTAGCCTGCAGGCAAGGGCAGAGTGGCAGGGAGCTTAGGGATCCGTGGACAATGGCCACCATGCCCCCTTTTCACACTATGGGGCATTGCAGGTTCAGAAGCCCCCAAAATTACCAAGGCAAGCAGTAAAAATAGGCATTTCCTGTATTGGAAGCATGATTATATACTGGTAAATCTCAAAAGATTAATTGAAAGCTTTTATTAAAAATTCAGTCATCTAGATAAAAATTAATGTGCAAAAATTATGAGCCTTCCTATTACAAATTGTAGTGAAAAAATAATCCAACTTAGGATAGAATAAAATAGCTAGGAACAAACTTTTTAAAAATGCAACGCGTACCTGAAGAAAACTGTAGAACAGAACCAAAGCACACAAGAAAACAGCAAGGCAGGTGGGCCGTGCTCCTGGATGGGAAGCTCCGTCAGCATCCGCTCGGACGAGGTTGGTCGTGTGCACGGATCAAAGCTGGGTCAGGCCCTAGGCCCACGTGCCGGCCAGGCTCCTGCCCCACCTGCCCTCGGCCCTCTGCAGCTAGCTGAGAGAGGAGGATGTGGCTTCTGGGGCACACCCTCCTGCTCCGGGTGGGGAAGGCGAGGGGAGGACCGCCAGGCACTTGCCCTTCCTACTGAAAGACACATTCATAGGTTACAGTAGCGAGAAACCGGAAACAACTGAGCAGGTCAGGTTACAGCGTATCCGTGTAATAGGATAAAGGCTAAACGTTAAGGATGTCGTAGACTCTGTGCTACTTTAAATACCTGAACGTTTACAAGCAGCTCAGTGATTCATCTTCACATAGGGAATCATTCAGGTCGTCATGTCAATCATTCTCAGGTACGTTGAACACTTACATGGCAGCTTCACACCGACGGGAATGCAGTCACCTCCACCATAGCTTAGCCACAAAGACAGAGGTAGGATGAATAATTCATGTATACACTCCAACTCGTGGGAAAGGGTGTGTGTTCCCAAAGGATACGTTAATATGTGTGTGTGCAGGTGGGTGCCTGTTATCCCAGCAACTCTGGGAGGACAGGCAATTTGGCAGCTTAGTAAGACCCTGTCTCCATAAATAAAAAAGGTTCGGGGATGTTGCTTAGCACAAAAGCCCTGGATTCAATCCCCTGCACTAAAAAATAAATAGTACATATATATTAAGAGCATGTATTGGTGTTATCTTCATTTCACAAATAAGAAAGCTGAGACTGAAGAACCCAGACTCTGGAGGCTGTGAACAGAATGTAAGTTTCTCTGACCCCGAATCACGGGTGGTTTCCAATGCAGCGTTTAAACCTTGCATACAGCGTGGACTGCTCCTCCTGGTGCCTCCTGTGTGTGTCATGGATCTGTTGTATCACAGTTTGATCTTTAGGGCCTGGTGTCCGCTGGCCCCTCTGTGCCTTCACGAGGGCAGGCACCTTACAGGATCCTCTTCATGTCCCCAGTGTAGAGAGGCTCTGAGAGGCAAGCAGTCATGCCCTGTGCCCGAGCAACAGAGCTTGATAAAGCGCGGGGCAAAGTTAAGTTCCTGCCCTGCTGACCCCACCACAGGTGCCTGTGTGTGCTGGGTCCAACCCAAGCTCCAGCTCAGCGGCCTCTGAGTGACCCTGCCTGGTGCTATCAAGAGCTGTGAATGCCGGTCACACAACAAGCTCCGGCGGGACCAGCTGCTCACCCCGCCCCAGCCTGGCTCCTGGGCGCAGAACCTGAACTGACCTCTGCTTCCTTGCAGGCCGCTCCTCCAAGAACGCTGTGGGCCAGATCTCTGTCCATGTGGACATCGCAGCCACCCCAGGCACCGGCGAGCACAAGGTCACCGTGAAAGGTAGAGGTCACGTTCAGATCCCCGAGTAGCCCTGAGCCCTTCGCCCCCAGAGCAGCAATGATGTGAGATGATTGCTCTTATGTCTAACTTACAAAGCATATATTAAATTATCATACGATGGGCTGAGAATTTCTTTAGAAAACCACAGCTTTTACTTAAAACCGAAATATCAATGGCACATGTACTAGACTACATTATTCAGAAGATCTAAGTGGTTCAAACCCACTGGTGACTAAATTTCAAAGCTGCCTATATCCTGTGGTTGGTGCTATACCTTGTGAACTTCAAGGTCAAGTCAGAACGGTCTTACTATTCTCATAATTTATACGCAATACTTCTTTTTATGTAATCAGAAACAACTTATCAACTTACTGGCTTTGTCATGTAAACACAGTCTAATGCAGCGGGCATTTCAAAGGTGAAATTTAAGGGTTACCATTCTTCTCATTACACCCATGTTCTACTTTTATATCATTACAGACGTGGCCTTGAAGTGTCCACTTGGACGCAAACCATGTATTGTGACACACTGAGCTCTGGTACCGTAATAGTGACAAGACCGGGGTCTGAGGCAGACAGTTCAGGGTCGCCCGCACCAGTGCCCTTCACCAAAGCTTGGAAGGGCGCCCTGTGGATGTGACAGGCCCCAGAGTTCCACTCTCCTCTGCATCTGCACATCTAAGACAGTGTCCCAAGGGCGCCACCATCAAAGACGAAGGGGGATGGGCAGCCCTTCACACTGGCTGGGTAGACACCGCACGGTGGCCCGGGCTTGCACTTGCCAGGCCCGGCAGAGTCAGATGCCCAAGGTGGACTTTACAAACACAGCTCCTCCTGGGACTAAAACACAGTGATCCTGTCTGTGGCAAAAGTAAATACTGAAAGTATTCAAATTAAATATTAAGTCATTGCTTCTGAAAGGCACAGTCTTATATGAACCAATTTCCAGTACATCTTCTAACCATTCCATGACAACACATCTCAGCTTTCAGCATACAAACCCCACGGATCCACCTAAAGAGGGGTGCGGCACGGCAGGGAGCAGCCCAGCACACTTCGGGAACCAGCTGTCTGCTCTTCAAGGACTGTGCGTGTACCGGGATTAGGGCATTGGAAAGGAAAGTCACGACTTCCTAAGTCATTTGTAAAAATAAAAGTCTTCGTATAATGACCACAAGGAGGAAGCTAAGTTTCCTCATATTTATTTGCTGAATCTTCATATTCCCTTCCCTTTTCTGTTTTCCATTTCAGTGATTGCTATTCATGACCTGCACTGGCAGACCACAGCGATGTTCAGACCCTTCGTAGAAGTCTGCATGCTGGGCCCCAACCTCGGAGACAAGAAGAGAAAGCAAGGCACGAAGACCAAGAGCAACACGTGGTCACCCAAGTACAACGAGACCTTCCAGTTGTAAGTTGCATGCACACAAGCCCCGCCTCCCACCAGGGGTGGCCCAGTATGGCTGGGGACCCCAAGGGGACCCGGCTGAGGAAAGCGAACCAGACAGGCTCGAGGCTGTGAGTCACTGCGAGGCAGGAAGCAGCTTCGGTTCCCTTTCCCTGGCCACGCAGCTGCTCCGTGGCCGCACACGTGAGGCAGAGTAACAGGAAGCAGACATGTGTGATGTAGAGGGCTCTGCTGTTAGGGACCTTATCATCCCTCAGCTCTAGAAAGTCCACAGTCACACATAAGCATGTTCTACAGTAGCAAACCCTCTGCAGAGAACAGAGCGAGAGCTGAGTCACAGGCAGTAACAGCCCCCCAGGGAGCTGTGGCCTCTGACGGAGAAACCAGAATCGGTCCTGCAGGGCAGGGCACAAGAGCCTTCACGGGGAATAGTCAGGGCCAGACAGGAAGAGCCTGGAGAGCCCAGAGGAGCAAACCGGGGGAGCGGGGTGAAGGGAGGCCGGGGGTGCAGGGGTGCAATGCCGAAGGAAATGTTTAAAAAACACACAAGAAATGGATTAATATAAAATCACTACAGCTTTCAGGGCAGTGCTGGATGTGTCATTTCAGTGCTTCCAAGTACTTTTGCACAGGCAAAGGGAGCAATTCTTGGCCACCGGGCCTGAAACGCATTTAGATTAGGGGTACAGCCTGGCCTGGTGTCCTGGAGCCATCACTCTCCCTGCTGTAGAGAAAGACACATCAGAAGCTACTGCAGGCTAAGCAGAACGCGCTGGGTCCGTGTTGGAATCGAGTCCTGCCCCGATTGGGGGAGAGGGTGAAGAGAGCCAGCTGCATCCCAGGGGCCTCAGTCTGTGCAGTCCCGGAGGGATTTAGAAATGGCAGCAATGGCAGTGGTGGGCATTGCCACTGGAGGTGCAGAGGAGCAGGAGGAAGAGGAAGGAGCAGAAGTCAGAGGTGAGGACGCCCCACACAGCCTGCCAGCCACCCACCAGCGGGCACAAGGAAGCTGTGGCTGCTCCTGTGAGGACGCCCTCCCTGCCCAGCTCCCTCCAGCCCCTTCTGGCCAGGCCAAGCTGGCAGCGTGGTGGGCAGGCTGGCACCCACGGCACAAGGGACACAGTGGACCTCCCTGGCCGGGGTGAGTGCGGGCAGCTGTGAGGGTTCTGGCCCACGCAGTGGGGTAAAGAGGGCCCTGAGGTGGGGACCTACAGCAAGAAGATGACAGCAAGGACTCAGCTCCAGAACCGTGTTAGCCTAAAGCGGCCCACAGGACCCAAGCAGGAGACCAGGGGACATGGCAGGGTCAGCACAGCTGCCTCCCTGTGGACCGCGACACCCAGCGACTGTGCCGGAGCTCCGTACACCCCAGCACCTCTGCCTGGGGCCTCCTCTGCGCTCTGGCCTTCCTGGGCCCCAGAGCCCCGGCCTCTCCCACACCGCCCTCTTCCTCCACGGACCCATCACACGCGGGCTCCGCCTCTCCACCTCACGCACTGGCTTTGTCTGACAAGCGCCGGCTCTGAAGCCCCCAGAATCACACACACAGCCGCTGCGCTGCCAGGACGGCCGCTCTGAGGGCGGCGTTTGATGCACTTCCATGCGAAAGAAGACAGGACTCCCCCGAGTCTCCCCCATGGGGAGCCGTTCCTTCACACGGTCCCCATCATCCCGAGTGAGCGCACAGCTGGGTTGTCAGTGTCTCCTGGAAACAAGGCCTTGACTCTGCACAATGTTTCCGCAGCAGAAAAATCACCTGGGAGAGGAAGGGCTCGAGGCCCGGGCGGCTGCCACACACGTGCCTGCGTTAGGGAGGGAAGGAGCCGTGGCCAGGAGACGGTTCCACATCCTCGGCAGCTCTGCCGGCAGCTGTCCGCGCTGTGGTCAGGAGAGGCGTCCACGGCGTCCCTCCCTCCGGGTCTCTGTCTCGGGAGAGCCACCGAGCTCCAGCTGCTGCAGCTGTGGACTCGCGATGTGGGTCCGGTGTGGCATGTGGAGCGGTGCGGCCACGCGGGCCTCGGCGTAAGACGACAGCGCGATGTTGAAGCGCACGACATCCGCTCCGAGACACGCAGGCGCGGCGTGGGGCAGGGCCCCTGCCTGCCCGTAAACCCCGCGCATCCACTC